ATTTAAGAATCGATATCGTTCCGTAAAAATGAGAATCGATTAGTATCGAGATATCAATATTTTTTACCCAGCCCTAATTAATACGTATTACTAGTCATTATCGTTTTAATTATATTAGTAATAATAATTTTTATTATTATTATTATAATACTGTAATTATTTTATCACATTATTATTACTAATTATCATTATCATCATAATTATCATCATGTATAATGATCATGTAAATAAAAGCAAAGATTAATGAATATTATGTAATCATAAGTAATAATTATTCATTATTGTCAAAAAGCAGAAATTTAAAAAAATTAATTTGTTCTAAATATTGGTTATTAGACCTCTAAAAAAATCCTCACTCTGGTTAAGGTAGTAAACAAACAATTTAACATCTTTAGCAGATGTTACTCAAGAATATCAAAAAGCCTGTTAAAGCTTGTTAAGCCATTGGTAAATAAATGAAGCTCCTGTAATTGGGCTTTAAATGTTTTTTTTTTGTGTGTGTTATGCTTTCAGTGCTGTTAAACCATCAGAAGATGATGCAGAGATGGGTATGAGGTGTGTACTGTGTGTGTGAGGATATATGAGTGTGTGTGTGTGTGTGTGTGTGTGTGTGTGTGTGTGATAGCTGACTCACTGTTGAGCAGCGTCACATGGCTGGCCGTCAGAGGTCTAGCGGAGGAAGCAATTCACCCGTCAGTGCTGGAGTTTGAGTGTGTGAGGGAAACACTGCAGATATACAGTGCTTTAGAAGCTCTCACTCAGCTGTCTGTCTCTCTCTCTCTCTCTCTCGCTCTCTCTCTCTCTCTCTCTCTCTCTCTCTCTCTCTCTGGCGTTCTGTACACAGTGGCTGTTGGCTTTACACTAAGATGTCAGCGGCAGCTTCTCTGCAGTGAGCACATTGAGGTAAGTTAGTACATTTCAATGGATTTTGCATTGTGCTTGTTTAACTGTTCATTTTTTTTAAACATGCAAGTCATATGACATTTAATTGACTATTTTTACATTGTTAACTCTAGTTGCTATTTTAACAATTGGTGGTCTTTCATTTACCAATTCAATTGATCTAACAAAATGTTGTTTCGGATCAAACATTTTTGCATAACATTTTATAAGAGTATCTAAAAAGTATGTGGTTTAGTAATTGGATTAACTCCGAATTTTATCTTTTTTTTGTGACTGAAATTTTGCATACAGATACATAATGTTTTTATTTTTTCAATAAATGTCTTTTGTTTTTTGTTTTTTTTCGAAATGATGTGTTTAGATGCAATGTACCAAATTATTCATTTATAATTTTTGATTTGAAATGACTATTTTAATATTTTTGACAATTTTAACAATTGATGGTCATTCAATCATCAACTCGATTGATCAAACAGAATTTAGTTTTAGATCAAATATTTTTGCATAAAGTTTTCTAAGAGTGTCTAACAATTATAAAGCTGTTGTTTGGTAATTACTAGTTTAACTTTAAAATCACCTTTTTTTATGAGATTTATGAAATTTGACATAAACATGCATAATGTTGAAAGCATTTTTATTTTTTCATTAATCTAACTTTTTTCTAAGAGATGTGTTTATATCAACATAACAACAATGTACTATTAATTTATAACTTGGCATCTAGAAGTGAAATTCAAATAGTCAGCATATCGTGACGGATCACTAGATATTGCAAAGTCAACAGTGAAAAGTCCACTGGTTTACTGATATCGCCCAGTCATCATTTAGTGTGTACTTTTATTTTTCCCCTTAAGTAACTTTTGAATCTAATGAGCGTTAATGATCTAATGAATCTAATGATCAAGTGTTGTGATCTGTGTGTTTGTATGTAGAGTTCAGAGGCTGCGTGTCTTGTGAGTTTGATAAAGTCATTAAATATCACTAATCTCACAGCAATGAGCGTCTCTTAATGTCCAGCACTGTGCCGTATTTAAACAATAAGTTGAAATTAAAAATATGAAGTGAAAAAGAACTTTTATGATTATTTCCCAAAAATAATTGTGGTTTTGTATGCTAGTGCTTAACTAATATGTGGTACAGTTGCACTATTTGTATTGTGAAGAAACTTCTGCAGAAGCTTTTGCTAAATCAGTAATTGTAAATAATAGGGATGGTTCACTGTGGTCGATTAATGGACTAGTCATCCAACAGTTGAATAGTTGTTAGTGAGGTTGACTAGTTAGGCATACACTCAAATGAACGTCTTTCGCCAAAAAACTCAAGCGTCACGCCACAATCTGCTGTATCATGTAAAAAAAATTTCAACTTTTTAAAAAATGTCTGCATTTTTCCATTTCGTTGCGCACGGTTTAGTTTTTGTTGTTTTTTAACGCAACAAAGTATATTATGTAAACATCTCTTTAAAAAAAAAATGCCCCAACAATTTTTGAACATACCTTGTAATTGAATTAATGAAAAAGATTCAAAAGTGCGAATCGGTGCACAATTACAAACATCTGATTGGCTATTGATATAAACTTGTGACTATTTGAGTTAATAATTTATACTTTGGAAAAACAACATAAAAAATGCATTAAACAGTCCCATAGACTTCCATTATAAGTGCATTTTTATGTACGCAAGTTTTTATTTTTGTTTTTATTAATATTATTTCTTACAAACTTGGAAATGAGAGTTCTAGACTTGATTATCCTTTTTTTATGTAATTACTTCATTTAAAAAAAAAACTTCTTTGCAGTAACCTGAGATTAAGTCTTGATCATGAACACAAAGTTGATATCTCATGTGTCAATACATTGAACCTGCAACCTTTCGGTTTCCAGATCTTTAACCACTAGGCCGCACCATATAATGCATGATCCAAACCAATTTTTCGACATTTTCTGTATGAGGTTTAAGTTCAACTCACAAACATGTCTTTCATGTGGACGAGCCAATGGTCACCAGTAAACTAGGAATTCTATATTTGCTGTACTACTCAGTCATTGAGCGTTTTATATTTTTACAGTGAGGTTTCCGCATTGTGATTTGAATGTCTATTTGCAGAATGGCATCTTTATTGGCCGCCTTTGCTTTGTCTGAAATTATATTTTATAGACATGCTTGAATGTAATCCAATAAGCCTGTTTGCCTTTCACAAAAGCATAAGGATTTTCCCAACTGAGAACGCTTGATCCTGAGCTCTCCATTTAGAACCGTGCAGGACGAGGGATTCCAGTTGAAGTTAGTTGGATAACTTTAACTTAGATTGCAAAATCTACAAGTGGATGTACAGTAGCTTGAATTGCATACCTGTCTGACAAGAAATTAGTTGTATTTGATCCCACTTTCTTTATTCTTGCCAAGTTGGACCGTGTCCACCAAGAGCTAATGCTTTGAATTTCAATGGATGAAGTCCTTTGTGTTCACATTCAAGGTGTACAAAACGGTCCAGTGAATTGGCAAATATGTGGTTAAGTGTGATAGACAGAAACACAATGGCTAGAAGCAAAATATCATTGTTAAATTGAATAAGCCATTTGTGGGTATCTGTATCTCAATTGTTGAAGTGGTTACCAAGTTAACCTCTGGAGGAAATCGAGAGGGAAACTGAAGCAACAAACATGATTGCTTTACTCATGAACAAGAAAATATGCAGTTATGTTCTTAGTAAAACTGTGTTTTTCAATGCAAAGGTGAAGTTTGCATACTATAAATAGATATTTATATGGTTGAACCAACTTGATTGTTGGTCGTTGCGTTTGATCAACAACATCACAACAGCAAGCCGAAGATCATAGGTCTTATCTTTCATTGTGCAATTGTAGATACTTCCTGTTTTCAAAGCACTTCCTTTTTTAAACAGAGAAACTTGTGTAATTTTCCCAATGTTAAAGTACTTTGTTGAGGAAACCAGTTTGAAAACAGTCATTATTTGTTGAATTCCATTGGGTGTTGCTAGATGCCCATTGATCATTAGGATTTTTGGTATCCGAATACTTGCAAGAGACTCTTGAGCTTCCATGATTTGGGAAATAATTTTTGTTACTGTTATAAACCAGTTTACATTGTTGGTTTAGCATCCTGACTTTTTGGCCTCTAGATACTTGAAAATTTACTGTGTAACTGCGTATCAACTTTTGATTAATCGCAGAGTGATTGAATCATGCGGTTGATGAACTTAACTGGTCCGAAAAAAATCGTTGACCTTCCAACAAAGTTGATGCAACTTTACAGAGGAACAGCCTATATCTAAAATTAGCATCTAACAAGACATTGCAACTTTACAATATAGTGCGCTCTATATTAAGAAAACTCTTAAAGATATTGGGACCATGTTTCTTAGAACTCTGTTGCAAGATGACTATAAAAGAATGCAAGGAGGATTTCTATTATTATAATTTTTTTTAATAAGGGGCGGTTTGAACTTGGTTTTGCAGTGATGCTGTCCGAGTTGAGTAACTGGGCAGGTCCTGCATATTAACAAACATGCGAATCCTGTCATATAAGAGTCAACTGCATTAACTTTACCATAGGTTTGGTCTTCTTTTAGGTAAGTTCAAGTTATTTTGAGCTTGCATTACCAGATTACTCTATTACTATTACTTACTTGGATTACTTTCTTATGCAAAACCTTTTATGATAATAATGCTCATTATATCTGGCATATTATTGATTTGATTTACTTTTATGAAATGTTACAGATGTTTCTCACAATAAAACAGTTTTTTTTTTTAATATACATTCAGTCTTTTAAAACCATGTGATGATGATGATGATAAGGTCATGGTAGAACTTTTACATGTTTGATGCAATACCTTAACTTTGGGCATCGTGCTGTTAGGATGTTTCTCTTCAACAGGAACTGGATCAAGATAGCTAAAGGGTAAACTGCACCATATATCAAGAAGTTTTGCCACAAAACCTCCTATTGCTAAAGAGCTTAGATTAAAACACAATTGTTGCTTTCAGCGTTATAGTTATGGGAAACACTTAGATGAATCAACAAAAGAAAGACTTTGAAAAAGGAGAGTTGATGTCCTTGAATGTTCTAGTTAGAGGTCAAACCTCAACTCAACAGTTGAACAATTGTATTTTTGCACAGACTACTGCACCAACACAAAGGTTACTTCCACAAAGTACTAGTTACTAGCAGTTAGCAGTTAAAAATGTTGTTTTTCTATTGAAAATTGGTTACTTGCAAGTATTAAAGGTAGTATATTTTCTTGGTAACACTTTACAATTAGGTCTCATTAGTAAATGCATTACCTAACATGAACTAACTATTAGCAGTACATTTTTACAGCATTTATTAATATTTGTTTGTTAGTTAATAAAATACAGTTGTACATTAGTTATTCGTGTACTTTAAGTAATGTTAATAGATACGTTTGATTTTAAAAATGTATTAGTTAATATTGAAGTTAAGATGCTATAGAAGTATTGTTTATTGTAAATTCATGTTAAATAATGTTAGCTCATGTTAACATATGAAACCTTACTGTAAAGTGTTACTATTTTGTCTTGAATTCAATATGAATTGTTAGTTATTCAGTCAACTCTTGAACTGTTGTAATCGTTGTATGGTGTTCAGTCAAATGAATGAAAGTTGAGCAAATCTACTGTTAAATCACATCCAATATTTTATGGTTATTTTCCGGCATGAGTCTCTTATCTGTGTGTCCTTACAGTAGCAACTTTTTTATCTGGTTGTTATCAGTCTTTGGATACGAGGGGGCTGTTAAATTGTAGTTTAAGTCCATTTACGCCATCAATGCAGCAGCAAATGGTTTAATAATCATACTGCAAACTTTTGTACGATTTGACCAGTGTAAAGTAAAGGTTATAATTAGCAATGAACAAATTATTTAACAGAAGTTTCAAACTGTTTGCAGGTTATGCTGCCTATAAACTCCTGCTTGAGTCTCAGTGAGAAAGAGAAAGGCTAAAGCCTGAGCAGATCCGAGCGTTGTTGAGCGTCTCCTGTGCTGCTTCAACCATGAGTGACCCCGTGACTTCAAATGAGCTCACCAATGCTGTGGCTTCAGTCATTCACAAAGTAAGTCAATCACTTTATTGATTTAAAGAGTTGTGCAAATGTTCAAAGCTATTTAGCATGAACTGTGGGGTTTTATTTGTTTATTTCTAGCTTTTATGTGGTAAAATAAATGAAAAGTCAAGTATTTCAGTCAAGGATTGTGGTAACTTTTTTGTATTATGATCTGATGGTTATAACTATAATACCTACAATAAGCATTATAATTTCTATAAACTACCAGTCAAAAATTTTAAATAAGTTGGAAAGAGGTCTCTTATGCTCTGCAAGGCTGCATTTATTCGATCAAAAATGCAGTAGAAAAACAATAATAATATTAATAATATTATTACAATTTAAAACAGCTGTTTTCTATTACAAAATATTTTAAAATGTAATTTATTCCTGTGATGGCAAAGCTGCATTTTCAGCATCATTATTCCAGTCTTTATTGCCATATGATCCTTTAGAAATCATTCTAATATGCTGATTTGCTACTCAAGAAACATTTCTTATTATTTTCTGCAGCAATAAAACAGTTGTTGCTGCTTAATATTTTTGTGGAAACAGTGACTATTTGTTATACTATAATGCAATATATTTTAATAAATATATTATATATTAAAATAGCATAGTTATTTTAAATTGTAATAAATGCAGTCTTGGTGAGCATAAGTAACTTTTTTTTAAAAACATTTTAAATGATTGTAGTGTATATAATGCAATTTATAAATCAGTTCCATGTATGTATTTTTCTTGCAACATGTTGAATGATTCCTGTGGGATTTACATGTTTCTCCAATAGTAATTGACCATTAAGGATTTTTAAAATATAAAGTATATCAAATATAGGCTAATACAGTTGGTATGTACGCAGTCGCATGTACATCAAAATATAACATTTTAAACATTAAATGAATTTATTTGCACAGTAATTGCTAGAAATTCACTAAAAATAAGGAAATTGTGCATTTATATTGATGATTTTAGGACTGCAGAAGGTAGAGCTAACTCATCTGCACATAAGTAGATGCCAATAAATATTGACTTATTTATTGGTATTACCATAGAACCATGTCCAAAAAACTTGGTCAAACTATAGTACTCTTTTGTAAGTCATGTGTGCACGTTTAAATATAAATAATTTTTCCTAGATTTCCATCAGTAGTGGCCTCATTCATTACTTTTGTGCTTGTCCTTTACATGTGAACAATATTTCATGTATTTTATTCTTTGAAAGGGTATAGCATTTAAGATCCAGGCAGACTTCCTAAACAAATCTCTGCATTGTAATTATTCGTGTGGTCTATAATGGCCCAGTATCACTGACAGATACTATAAAACTCACTCGGGAAACTTAAAAGACCTTCTCACCCACAAAATTGACGGGGTTTTTTCTCCTGAAGCTGTTTGCAGTGATATGCGGCAACTTTCTGTGTCTTGAATTGCACCCTCTCCAAACCCACACTCCGCTGAGTCAGCATTCCCAGGGTTTTGCCTTTAAAGAGCCAGCTCTCTTTTGACACAAATGCAGTCTCTTCAGTCTAGTTCTTTGCTATTTTGGGCCTGCAGTTTGAATAGTTGTCGGTGTATGTTTGATTCTTCCTAGAACCATTTTTATTGACCAATAACATTTTATTAGACACATTATGCTGTTATCTTCAACAACCAAGTTGTTAAACTACACATTTTTTAAAACTAAAGGTAAGTTTTAGTTCTAGAAATGTGAAGGCAGCATCATCCCAAGTCATTGTGTCTATGCAATACTATAGTTCATGGCCTAATGGGTATGAATTTCTCATTGCTAGTTAGTATAATTCAGTCTAAGTACAGAGCTTAACTGGTTAACTGACATTGGCTTGCCTCTTAATGGCAGGCAACTGTTCATCCATAAGGTTAATGATCAACCTGACGACACGACTGCAGGTTTTGGGTGTGTGTGGATGTGGGGTGTGTTTGGGGGAAGACTAGACAATCAGCGATTGGAGTTCGAACGAGGCCTGGCGTTGTGAAATGGGGCTATATCCTCTTCCTGCTGCGGTCATGTGACGACAGGTCTTTCGACAGGGTTTCTGTTTGCTCATCTTTTAGATTTGCTTGGAAAACTAGATTATTTTTCTTACTCTTGTATTTAGACGGGATCGATGACCAATGGATTTCCTGTACAAGGTAAAGGTCAGTCATTTACTCTGTTAAAAAACTGTCTGCATAGGTTTAAATTAGCTGTAGCATTAAATCTGTTACCTTGACCATCCTTATGGTTCACAATGAGGTATGTTGCATACTAGTCTCTGATAGCCCTCTGATATCAGCCATTGTTGATGTATTTTTGCGATATTTCATGATCAGATCTTATAAATCAATGCTTGTCAAACAGTTTGAAAGTAGGTTAATTTTGGAAGGCTGAGGGCTGGTGCATCTTGCCTCATCGGTCTGAGTAAATATCGAAAGGGGGTGTTTCTACAGGTTATCTTGGCTCCCAAATGTGATTAATATCATGCCAGGGTAATATTGCTGTCTTAAGTGTTTAGCTTATGTTGTACAGTATTGCATTTTGTTAGAACTTAGAAGTCAGTGTCACAACGGTTTAAATTATAAAGAACATATCTGAAATATTTGTAAAAATCAGAGCATTTTTTATTTAATTTATTTGTTTTATTTTAATAATAATTGTAAATATTTTGTATTAAATAAAAATGAAAAATAATTATTCATAGTATTTTTATATTATAAAAAAGATGTAAACAAAAAATTTGCATATGTATATTTTTATATTTGTGAAACCGACTACATGCAAACATACAATACTGTAGCAAATTAGCTCAAAAGGGAAATGTATATAAATAATTACAGTTAATTATGATTAATTACAATTATTTATAATTATTCATAGTATTTTTATATTATAAATATATATTTTATATTATGTAAAAAAAAAATTTGCATATTAATATGTATATTTTTATATTTGTGAAACCGACTACATGCAAACATACAATACTGTAGCAAATTAGCTCAAAAGGGAAATGTATATAAATAATTACAGTTAATTATGATTAATTACAATTATTTA